GCCTGGACCATCTGTTACTTCTGTATCTGGAAGGGGACCAAGTCCACAGGAAAGGTAAGAGGTGAATCTTCAACTAGCCGCAGGCAGGGGAGGGGGCGAGTTGTCCTTGTTCAAGCTCACAGACCCCGAGAGTGCTAGGGAGTTCCTGTTGCAAAGGCCAGCTCCTAAGTTGGGGGACAGGAGGCGCACTGCACAGGGAGTCCACTCAGGAGCCCAGATCTAGAATCCTAGTCCCCCACCTCTTTGCCACACACCTCAGGGCTGTTCAGTTCTACCTTCTGAGCCTCCATTTGCTCATCTGTGAAATGACAAAGGCTTATCCTGTTTACTTACTGAGTTGAGAGTCCTGTGAAAAAAGTCAAGTTCAAGTGCTTTGGAAACCAGGAAGAGCTAATTGACTATGGTGTGGATTTTGTAATTAAGACGTGCGCCCCCGGTGTGTGTTGGGGAAGGCAGTGCTGGCTGCCTCCGCTGACAGACCCCAAGATCTTGCTCCCCTGCAGTCTGTGGAGGGAGGGGCAGCTGCTCCCATCCTGGAGCCTTGCTGTGCCTCCTGCACCGCCTCCAGGGCCGATGCCTTGTAGGGGAGGAGAAATAGGAGGAGACAGCCCGCTCTGAACTGTCTGAGCCTGGAACTCACTGCGACTCTTCCGCTCATGTGCTGCTCCCAGAACCTGAGGCACAGCCCCATCTAACTGCATGGGAGGCTTAGAAATGAGAGGAGCAAAGGGACCTCTGATGAGGACAGCCGTCCGTGCCTGCAGGATCAATAAAGGTTATAAATGTGTGGTTCATGGCCAAGCCCAGCCCACTCATGTATTTTATTAAAAAAAAAGGAGGGGTGGGGAGAATTAGTTGCCAACATTTAGAAATCAAGAAGTTTCATATAAAATAATGTGAAAAAGGAAACATGTTCTGGCATCTCTTGGAAAGTTGGAAGATTTGGCAGCCCTGAGCTGAGCAGCCTCCACCTCCTTCTGGGGGTACTTGGTTGGCCACAGTCCCCACCATCCCCTGTCATGCCTGATCCTGTGGCTGAGGGTCAGTGCCATTAGTTTCCTCATTTTTTCTTGTGGGAAAGAGGTAAATAAGATGTTTTTTAATTCCTGGGTCACCCCGACCATGTCACCTCCATGCCTGCCTGCTTCTAGTAGGCAGTTGCTCATAAACTTTATTCTAAGCTATTGGCTAGGGGTAGGGCTGCAGGCAAAACCTCCAAGGAAATAGGAAGTTACCAATTCTGGGCCCTTTTACAAAAGATGGTCCCCTCAGCTTCCACAGCGGTAGGGTGATGGAGAGGAAACTCCTAGGATGTGGGAGGACCTACAGGAGGGAAGCCGGGAGAACACAGAAGAGTTGTCAGCAGATGTCCTGTGCCATGGCTGTAAGGAGGCTGAGGATGTACTAGAAAGTCATCAGACATGTGCCTGGGAGACCAGAGAAAGCAGAACAGAGAATCTCATGTCCCTCCAGCCAACATGATTTCCCTGGTCCTTGCCTTCTCCAGTTTATGTCATAAAGACAATAGGGTTTTTCTGTTTTTTCAGATATAAAAATCATTTCATTATTGATACACTACTTCAGACTACACTCATATTGCCCCCCTCCCCCTCCTTGCTGCCTCTTCTGGCTAAAGAAGAGGACAAAGACTGGAGGGGGTACGAACCAGGGTCTGGAACCAGGGTTCATGTCTCAGGTCTGTCTCTCACTGGCTGAGACCTTGGGCACATCCCTTAACTTCTCTGAGCCTGTTTCCTCTTCTGCAAAACAGAGATTGGTAAGTGAGCTCACGTCTCATGGGGTGGTTGCAAGAATGAAACACAAGGCTGCACATTCAGCACTTAGTAGAATGTGGGACTGATGGCAAATACTGAGTAAACGATGATTTTTAAAAATCTTGTTATAAAAGTTATTCATTCAAGAAGTAATTCCTGAGGATCTGCTTGATACCTGGGATTATTCAGTGAGTATCTAGAGATGAATAAAACACAGCTTCTGCCCTACCTGCATAACATGTGAAAGTGCTTTGTGAACCATAAAGAGACGGGAGGCGGTATCATGGTTGGCGCTACTGTTGCTCCTACTGCGATTACCACGTTTTCAGGAGTGAAGGAGTGGGGCTTCGCTGGGTGGCTGTCGTGCGCAGGTGTGCGGAGCGCTGTGCGGATGAGGTCTTGGTGCGTGCACACGTGTGGGCTGTCCATGTGCATGTGTGTGTGGCCTTAGCTCTTGGGCCCAGATGTGGGCCATTGCAAATCTGGCTCTCCTCAGCCCCCAGGCGGAAGCTCAGTCCGTGGTGAGGCCACTTGCCACTGGCTGGGTGATCAAGCCTGTGTATGTCAGACAATTGTAAGGCAGGGACCAGGTTTCTAGGAGGGACAGGTAGGCTGCATTCTAAGAGATTTCAGAAGAGGTTTAGGAAAGGCAAGATAACGGTTACAGAGTGCTCACATGTCTGTTCCATCCAGACCTTGAAACAATCTCATGAGATGGGCTAGCATTATCTCCATTTTACAGATGGGGAAGCTGAGGCTTTGCAGGATTCTGTAACTGGCTCAAGGACAAGTAGATAGGGAGAGGAGGGCCAGGATTAACCCCAAGCCTCAGTGACTGCATGGCCCATGCCTTGGATGAGTGTACCATCATTCCAGTCATCTGTGACATAGAGTCAGTGACAGTTTCCTTACGGGCTGGTTATGAGGAGGCCATTCATGAGCCTAGCACATAGGAGGCACTCAGTGGTTATTGATTGTAGCTGCACCTAAATGGTACTATTAAGGGAAATGCTAAAATCACATGATCAATTGAGTATTTTCCTGAAGACTGGGTTTCATGGGCTCTTCCCCGTGTTCCAGGCCCCAAGACCAGGGTAAGTATCCAGGATGAGATGTGGTTTGCTGGACCTGTGAGATTCCTTAGGGATTATCTGGTCCATCCCACCTCAGTGGATGAGGAAACTGAGGCTTAGAGAGCAGAAGGGATTTGCCCACAGTCACACACTGAGTGTCAGGTTGGGAGCTGGTCTGGTGGCCCAGCTCCCTGGCTGTTTATAAATGAGAAGGTTCTGTGGGTCACATCTGACAGTTTTGAGAGAGAAGGCGACCCCAGATCGGCATGTGGGCGTTTCAGCGGAAGATTTGATGCTTTTGTTAACTGTTTATTACTCACCTCACTTTGGACGTGAGCCCAGCGTCCAAAGGCTTTTCAGATTTGTACAAAAACAGCTAAAAATAAACACAAGGTCATCTGAGTCTTCCTGAATGGGCAGAGGTTGCTCCTGCCTCCTGCCTGCGGGACCGTGGCCAGAGCCGCTTTCATGAGTTGGTTCAAGGAAGGGGGAAGAACTCTATCTTCACTCTGTTTTCCAGGCTGTGACTGAGTTGGCATTTCCTCTTCATCCCAAATTCCAGCCTGCTATCCATACCTGGGCCTTGGCAGAAATTTCATTAACTCAAGAAAAAGATCCTGGCCCCAGCTGGCCTCCAAGGCAAAAACTCTAATCCCAACTTTAACTCAGAGAATGAGCATGTGCCCTGCTCAGGGAGGCAGACACTGTGGGCTCAGCCTCTCGGCAGGTGGCTCTATAATTGGGAATCTGGGTTCAGGTCACAAATAAGTAGACCACAGATGAGGCCGTGGGAGTGCTCTCCAGTGGCCTGAGGGGTGGGGTTTGAGCCCCGAAGCTGCTTTGGCATTAGTGTCCCCCCACCAAGGACAACCACTGCCTGTGACTTTCACCTCCATCTGCTGTGCCTTTCTCAGTGCTTCCCCATCTTCTGGCATCACAGAGGCCTGCATTCAGGATCTCCCAGGGTCAGGGTCACGGTGAGCGATCTGAACTCTCAGAAGAAGATGCTCTGACTGAAGAAAGAGTAACTAGGTGCCAGCTGTAGTACCCAGCAAGGTGCCATTTGTGGAATGGATGAATTCCGCCTGTGCTGTGGCTCCCTGGGAGGTGCTGGGATGCTCTGGGGAGGCCAGTGGACAGTCTTGCCCCTGCAGAGCATGCAGTATACGTGGGCAGGCAGATAAGCAGCTGTGATTCTGGGTTTTAGTGCTGGCATGAAGTGAGGGAACAGTTAAGAGAATCAGGTCCTATGAACATGGGGATCCTAGTGGCGGAGAACTGCTCTGGGGTGTTAGAATGTAGCACTTTCGAGCTGGGAAGGTTTAAGTCCAAACCCTGTTACACAAACAAGGAAGCAGAGGCCCAGAGAGGTTGCAAGATTTGCCCAAGGCCACCCCACTTGGAAGGAGCAGAGCTGGGGTTCACATCCGGGTCTGTCTGCCCTGCCTAAGCCTGGTCCTCATCTGTTCATATACCTCCAGCTGGGTCCACGTGCAGGTTCCAGGACAACACATGGATCAGATTTCTGAGCGCACGGCAGGTGCTTAGTAAGCCATTTATTTTCCTGCCCCAGTTTTAGTTCTATACAGTGCTTCTTCTCTCTGTAGACAATATTGCAAATTCCAAGAAGTCTGGATTAAAAAATAAATAAGAACGTTTCTTAGTTGTGCATTAAGTACTGAAAAAATACTGAATTCTGAAATACTTGCTTTCTTCAGGAGGAAACTTCCAGTCTGTTTATAACTTGTCATCTTCTGGACAAATAGTTTCACTCTGGACAATTGAAATCAAGTGACTAAGACATGGAGGCATCTTTGTGATTTTTGTGTGTGTGTCCTTTTTTTTTAAGATTTTATTTTTTAGGGCAGTTTTAGGTTCACAGCAAAATTAAACAAAGTACAGGGATTTCTCATATACTCACTCCCTGCCCCCACACATATATAACTTCTCCAGCATTCCCCACCAGAGTGGTACATTTGTTACAACTGATGAACCTACATGGACACATGATAATCAACCAAAGTTCATAATTTTCATTCACTTTTGGTGCTGTACATGCTCTGGGTTTGGACATTACAGTATCATACGGAATAGTTCAATAGTTCTGCTGCCCCCAAAATCTTCTGTGCTACCTGTTCATCTCCCCCTTCCCCATCCCTGGTAACCACCAGAAACCAATCTTTTTGCTGTCTCCACAGCTTTGACTTTTCCAGAATGTCATACCGTTGGAATCAGACTGTATGCAGATGTTTTAGATAGACTTCTTTTACTTAGCAGTGTGCATTTAAGTTTCCTCCAGGTCTGTACGTGGGTTGATCGCTCATTTCTTTTTATCACTGAGTAATATTCCACTGTGTGGATGTACCACAGTTTGTTTATCCATTCACCTACCTATGGATAGATGTCTTAGGTACTTCCAAGTTTGACAATTATGACTAAAGCTGCTATAAATGTTTGGGTACATGTATTTGTGTGGACATAATTTTTGTGTGTGTGCATGTGTGTGGACATAATTTTTTGACTTCTTTGGATAAATACCAAGGAGCATGATTGCTGGATCTTCTGGTAAGAGTATATTTAGTTTTGTATAAAAACACCAAACCATCTTCCAAAGTGACTATACCATTTTACATTCCCATCATCAGTATAAGAGAGTTCCCGTTGCTCCACATCCTTGACAGCGTTTGGTGTTGTCAGTGTTTTGGATTTGGGTCCTTCTAATGGGTATGTGGTGGTAACTCTTTATTGTTTTAATTTGCGTTTCCCTAATGACGGGTGATATGGAGCCTCTTTTCATTTGCTTGTTTACTATCTGTATATCTCTTCGGTGAAGTGTCTGTTAAGGTCTTTGACCCATTTTGTAATCAGTTGTTTGTTTTCTTATTGTTGAATTTTAAGAGCTCTTTGTGTATTTTGGGTAACAGTCCTTCAACAGACATGTCTTTTGCAAGTATTTTCTCCTGGTCTGTGGCTTGTTTTCGCATTCTTTTGACATTGTCTTTTGCAGAAGTTTTTAATTTAATGACGTCCAGCCTGTCGGCTATCTTGCTCATAGATTATGCTTTTGGTGTTTTATTTATCTAAAAAGTCTTTGCCATACCCAAAGTCATCTAGGTTTTCCTTTATGTAATCTTCTAGGAGTTTTAGTTTTGCATTTTACATTAAGGTCTATGATCCATTTTGACTTAATTTTCGTGAAGGGTGTAAAGTCTGTGTCTAGATTCATTTTGGCATGTGGATGTCCGTTTCTTGAAAAGACTGTGTTTGCTCTTTGTTTTTATTTGTCAGCCAAATCCACCTTGCCCATCCCTGCCATGTGGTCCTCCCTCTGGTCTCATAGGCCTGAACTACCAAGTCGCTTTGACAACTCCTCCCTTAACCTCTCACCCAGTTAATGATCAAGTCTGCTTTGTAATCACCCTGGAAAACATCTTGTCTTCTCTGTCTTTATTGTCCATCCGTCTACTCACCCACTCACCTAGACTTTCAACAAGTAATGAGCCCTCAAGAGCTCCCCAGTCCCTCCAACTTGAAAATTCCTCTTAGAATGTCCCAGTTTTCACAAAGATATTGCTGACATGCAGAACAACACAACCAAAATCCCTTGTATTCTATGAAATAATGATTTCAGATAAATTCAAGGTGGTCTCGTCTTTATTCTGTATTACTGTACTACAACATGGATGCAATGTTAGGGTTTTGTGATATCCTGTTACCTGTTATGTGTATTTGTCGAAGACTGAAAAAAACTGGCCCTTATTTTGCGTCCTTGTGTAGCTTTGCTAGGCCTTAGTCTGATCCAAGGATCAGCCAGCGCTGGCCTTAGGGCCAAATACCACCCATGGCATGCTATTGTAAATAAAGCTTTATTGGAACACAGCCACATCCATATCTTTGTGCATTGTTTACAGACAATCTAGAAGCTTTTGTGCTTCTACAGTGGCAAAACTGAGTGGTTATGACAGAGATTGTGTGACCCACAAAGCCTAAAATATTCACTGTCAGGCCCTTTACAGAAAAAGTTCATGGATCTCTAGTCTAACCTATTAAACTAATTCATGCAAACTATTTGCCACGTAACAAGAAGGTAACATCTAAATTGCTGTCACCCAACACATGGACCGTTTCAGATACTGAAAAGCTGTAGCGATGGTTTGCAATGGAGAGCTTTTCCAAAGGATCCTGAAAATCTTACCCCAGCCTTTCCAGCTCCCAAATGTGCTGTTTCTTGTACCCAAATGCTCCCTTGTTGTGGGTGCTGCTCAATCATTCTTTTATTCATCCTGTAAGTGTTTATTGCTCACCTCCTATGTGCCAGGCTCTTTTCAGTGGTGAGTGAACCACACCTTGAGGCTGACTGTTGGTGGGGGAGACGGAGAATGAGCAGCCATAGAGATGCCATGGCTGGAGAACAGGGGCCTTGATGGGGAAGAACGAGGGCAGGAGACCTCCCCAGAGGGATCAGGGAAGGTCTCCCCGAGAGGGATCCCCATCTGTGATGAGAAGGATGGGAAGGGACTGGACAGGTGAGCAGCACAAATGAAGTTCTCAGGTCGGAAGGACCTGGTGAATCTGAGAGGCAAAGCAAAGGCGGGGGCCAGATGGAGTGGATGTTGGCGTGTGATGGGCAGGGGTCAGACCTCGCAGCCGTGGTGAAGGGTTGGGGATTTTACTCTCAGTGCAGTGGAGAGCCACTGAAAGTTTTTGAGCAGGGATAGCATGATCTGACTTCCATCCTTAAAAGTAGGCTCTGGCTACTCATAGTGACTGGATGGGTGGGGGATGGAGAGGGACGTGCCTGCTCTGTTCGCGGGTGACCAGGGCAGAGGTGCAGTGGAATGGAGAGACCTAGTCCAATCAGACCCTTCGTGGTGCGGCATCCTCATTCTGCGGGACCTGATGCTGCATGGAAGTTGAGATCTTTCTCTTTTTTGACTTTCAAATGGCATGACCTGCCCAGCTCTTGCCTGGAGGCTCTGCCTCTGCAGGCAGCCATCCCTGCCCACCAGGCAGTCCAGCGTTCCCTCCTGCTGCCCGCACACCCTCCTTGGTTGGCTCCTGTTTTTCGCTCTGTCCCCGTGCCGGTTCCTTCTGTCCTCCTCTGGGTGGATGATTTATGGATTTTTCCCCCTCCTTTCCTGGTCTCCAGGAGCAGTGGTTGGGAGGGGAGGGTGCTACAAAAACAATTCTGGCCCCTTCCCCGCCTCCTCCTAAGTGCCACTTTAAAGGAAGCAGCAGGATTAGCTGGGATTTTAAGAAGAATCCTGCCTTTTCACTGCTTTAGGGCACTGTTTTTATTCTTTTCAGAGTTCCAGGACACCAAGGCAGGAAAAAAGAAAACACACATACAGACAGACACACTCACAGAAACAGCTGCAGAGAGCCTTGAATTGATTTTTTTTCTTTTCCTTCCTTCATTCACCAGCAAGTAGAGGAATTGGAGGTGGTACAAGGACACTTTTTTCTTCATATTAAATTATAATTGACTTACAATGTTGTATTAGTTTCAGGTTTACAACATTGTAATTCAGTATTTTTACAGCTTATACTCCATATAAAGTTATTGTGAAATACTGGTTGTCTTCCCTGTGCTGTACTTACATCTTTGTAACTGACTTATTTTATACCCAGTGGTTTGTAACCCGTAATCCCCTTCACCCCTCTCCCCACTGGTAGTCACTGCTTTGTTCTCTGTATCTGTGAGTCTGTTTCTGTTTTGCTGTAATTATACAAGGACTCTCAAACAGCCTGTGTCCTCTGATGATAATGGTAAAGCAAATGTTTAAGTGGCAATTTGATCCAGGCCCTGACCTAAGGTCCTTGCTACATTAACCCTACATTACGACAACCCTATGAGAAAGGTACAGTTGTTGTCCCCATTTTGCAGATGAGTAGACAAAAGCTCACAGGGCTTACGCTGCTGGCCCTAAGGTCATGGGGCAGGGGTGGGTTCAGACCCCTCAGGGTCAGGGAGGAGCAGGGTGGGGCCTTTTGGCAGGTGAAGTGCCTGCTGGGATGAGCTTGTCCCAGAGCTGCCAGATGGAGATGCAGCCTGGAGGGGCCATCGGTGGCTCCTCCCTCAAGTGTCTGCCTTTTCTTCCCTCTTTCCACCACCGCCAGGGTGGGTTGGAGCTGCCAGCAGGGAAACCATCAGGAGCCCCACACAGAAAATGTATTCTTCAGGAGCACCCTATAAAGTCGCTAATGGATTCAATGAGGCATAAAGCAGGAGTAAAGGGGGCAGGGGGAATAAAAAGGAAAGATGTGTGAAAGGGGAGCGAACGGGCCCAGGAAAGGAACTGGGCAGCGCTGTCTCCCGGCCCTCAAGTGGCCTTTGTTGCAGCCTGAAGCGAGCAGGACGGCGTTGGTGGTGGGGCTGGCGGTGGCGGTGGGGCTCTCAGCGCCCGGCCCGATGTCTGCTTTCAGAGAGGAAACTAGAGCGTTCATGAGATGCATGCAGAGAACCCCGCGGGGAGATCCCCTGCCCTCCGCCCCCAGATCCCGAGGACACCCGAAGCCACTGCCGAGGGGCCTTTGTGCGAAGTTGGGAGCACTTCTCACACAACGGTTCTGGGGAGAGCCGTAGATTGTAACATTAAGTCAAAAGAGTTTAGCGTCTTGATTCAACCCTTTCTTTGGCCTTGAATGACAGCGCTTCACCTTTAGCGGGAACCCTGGCAGCGAGGAAGGCTGGAGAGGAGGGAGGCTTTGCGACTCAGTAATACTGTCTTTATTAAGGCACAAAGGCCCCCCAAAGTCCAAGTGGTTGCCGGGCGGGAGGGGTTCTTTGGCGCTGGCTGCCTCCCGAGAAACCCCTCAGAGCCCAGAGAGCGAGCCCGAGGGCGGTGGGCGCTGTTAACCCTCCCGGGAGCTGGGCCGGCGCGCGGAGCCCCTCCGCGTGCGCGGTCTCCCTGGGAAACGGCGCCCTCCGGTGTGGCAGCGCCAGGAGTCAAGGCGGCTCAGCTCCACGTGAGCCCAAGCGCCGCGCCGTTGGCCTAAACCAGAAACGTGCGGAGGTGTTTTTCTGTGCCTCTGGAATATTAGCACCAGCCTGAGCACCGCAGGGGGAACGTAGAAGAATCGTTCGTTCGCTGTCTATCCTGCCCTCAAGAACTAGGCAAAGAAGGTGAAGTCAGACTAGCAACGAAGAGTGGAATGAACTGGCGTTTGGCGTCAGAGTCCTGCCTCACCTTTGTCACCTGTGTGATTTAGTGCAGCCACCACGACCTTCTCTGCCTGCTCATGTCACTTCGTTTCTCTGGGCCTCAGTTTCCTTTTCTTTCAAGGGTAGCCTGACCGCTGCAGTGACAGATGGGGGCTATGCTGGTGTCACTAGTGAGAGAACCTCTGAGTTGGGGGCCCCTGGCAGGAAGAGCATGACGGAGCAGGGAGGACGTGGGGTCCGCATATACAGGAGCCTCCAGGCAGGAGTGACGTATAGGCTGGCTTTGACAGATGCGATGAGAGCAGTGACAGACAAAGGTCCCAAGGGGTATCTGGGGGAGTAGCGAGAGATGGCGTGAGCTTATGTAGAACGTGGGCCAGATGGCCAAGCAGGGGCTGGTGTGTTACAGAGGCACCCACTTGCCAGCGGCCTAGGGACAGTTGGCCAGATCAGTCCAGTGCAGTTGAAGTTGACGGGGTGTCCCTCCAGAGTGCCTGCAGAGCCCCTCCTCTCCACCCCTGAGGCCATCTTTGTCCCGTCAGCATTCAGCCAGAGTGGCAGAACCAGAAGGAGATCTATGTATTGAGAGATTCAGTATGAGGAGCTGGTGATTGTGAGGGCTGGTTGGCCAAGTCTGGGACCCAGAGGGCAGGCTGCCCTCAGGCAGAGGTTCTTCACCAGGGAGACCTTGGTTCTGCTCTTAAGGCCTTTCAGCTGATTGGATCAGCCTGCCCAGATCATTTAGAATAATCTCCTTTGCTTCAAGTCAACTGATTATGGACTTTAATCACATCTGTAGAACACCTACACAGCAACACCTGGACGAGTGTTTGATTGAATAACTGGGGGTGGTAGACTCGCTACCTTGCACGTTACAGGGCCCTCCCAGCATCTCCATCCAGGTGTGTCCACCTTTCACCTGGATGCTGGCACAGGAGGTCACCCTGCTGTAAGCCCTGCCCAGGCCTGGACCGTGTGTCTGTCACTGCCAGACTTTGTGCTTCCTTAACTGTGTGTCACTCTTCCCCTCAGAATGCTCAAAGATGAATGCTCCAACATCTACAGCACCTACTTTGAATTTAAAAATTGCCCAAACAATATTGTAACTAGCTATTTCAAAGCAAAAAATAATCCCCCCAAATTGTCCACCTGTTGCCCTCTGATCCTTATATGTGTATAACTGTACTTTGTACCTCATTTAATCATAGCATGATAGAACTTAATGTTTTGCCTTTTTCATTAACAGTTCACCACAGAGCAATTTCCTCGTCCCCATTTGGCCGAAAGATGGTTTTTAAATTCCATGGTATAAATATTTCATGACCTCATAAACTATTCCATGACTATTGGACTCAAGATATTTATAGGTTTTTTTGATGTTACTGAAAATGTTAAAGAAAACACTTTATTCTCCTGGCTTTCCTTCCCCCAGGAGATGATTTTATTAGGAAGATTGCAAGGGGTGAAAACTCTGCCAGAATCACCTGTCTTATCTGCCCAGAAATCCTCTGTCCACTTCCTCCTACTGCCCCTAAGCCCCCAGCAAGGCTGGGCACCCGCACCTTCTCTCTCCTCATGCCCAGGTATCTTCCCCACGACATTCTTTTTTGTTGTTCTTAGAGGGGTAGGTTTATTTATTTATTTATTCATCTTTAATGGAGATACTGGGGATTGAACCCAGGACCTCATGTATGCTACGCATATGCTTTACCACTGAGCTATACACTCCCCTCCCCCTCCCCCTTCTCCATTTTTTCCCTCCTGACATTCTGCTCATGGTTGAAGGCCCAGCTGAAATCGGTCCCGGCATTTGGGAAATGTTAGGGTGAGAGATGTAAGACTCCTTCATCCCAAATATTCATTCCCTTAAACCTGCCTCACTTCTCCCTACTTTCTGCCCGCCCTCCCTTCTTCTCCATGCTCATCTCCCCCCCGCCCCCGGGTGAGCAGGGTGACTGGCAGGCGGCACTTTGTCCTCTTCCCACTCTGACATCCTCTCCACCCTGGTGTCTCTCCCTCCTCCAGGAAGCCTTCAGGGGCTCCTCCCACCCTCATCCTTGGTCTTCTCTCGACTCCCCTGATGGGTCTCATGGCCAGCAGCACCCAGCTGTCCCGCACTTGCCTGTCATTGCCTCATGACTGCTGGGCTCATGGGCCCAGAGACATTTCTTACCCCGTAGGGCAAATATTTATTAAACATGCCCTGTGTACCATGTCCTGTGCCCAGGACTCAGATATCAACTCTAAACAAGTGTAGAGGCTAGAGTTTAGGCAGAGGAGTAAACAGGCAGTTACAAAATATCCCTGTGCTGGGGCTAAATGTGGCCCTGGGAGGCAGTGACATCCAAGCTGGCTGGTAAGTTACGGATGGTTATTAATTACCCAAGGGCAGAGGAGAAAGGCGATTTCAGGTAAAAGGAACTGTGTACAAAGGCCAAAAAGCTAGCTTACATCTTTTTTCCCTCCCTCCTTTCTTTTTCCTTCCCTTCTTTCTCTTTCCTACGCTCTTTCTTTCTCCTAATGTATGTCAAGAGCACATCCCTTGCATTTCAGGGGCCCTTATGTATTCCTCTGTTCCCAGGGTAAGCCACACGGTAGATACTGGGAACCATTGCTTATTGATTCAATCAGCCAACAAGTGATGCCTCGCATGTGCTCAGACCCATTGATTGATTGAGGTGAAAGTTCTAAAGGATTTCCTGAAAGTCACACAACTGAACTCTCTCCCCCACCCCAACTCCCAGTGGTTAAGGAAACAGCAGAGGGAGAGGAGTGGAAAATGAGGCAGGGCCTATGGGGATTGTGTGTGATCATGTGCAGACCCTTTCTGGGGAGGACGAGCCAATGGAGGGTGACTGCAGGGAAAGTGAGATGCAGGGGCCACAGAAGCTAAGGAGGCAGACCCACCCAGGTTCAAAGCTCAGGTCCTCCCCCAAGCTAAGGAAACTGCTTTTACAGAGCACCTACTGTGTGCCCGACATTGGGCTGGGCACTCTGGCTCATTGTCTAATTTAATTTCACAACAGAGGGTCAGGTGAGTGTCAGCAAGCTCACTTTGTAAATGAGACACTGTCCCAGAGAGGTAAGTGACATGCACAGGGTCACACGACGCATCGTGGATGCAGACTGAGGACCCAGGTCTGCCAAAAGGGTCCCCAAACCAGTGTTCTTCCCACTGGTGAGTGCAGAGCCCTGAGTAAGTGGTCAGCTTCCATCCTCGCCAGGTGAACACTCATCCACCCACCAGCCCGAGTACTCACCACGTGCCTGGCACCATCAGTGAGCAGCAAGGAAGTGTTTAGGCAGGAGAGAGCAGAGCCAGGTGGACAGGGCTGTGAATCTCCGCTCTGCCCCAGCCCAGAACTTGGTGTGGGCCTTTCTTTGCCTCTGAGCTGTTTCCTCCACCTTTGCGGGGGCCGTAGGAGCACGCATCTCATTGGGTTGCTATAAAGCTGGAGTGAGGTGATGCCCATAAATACTCAAAGGGTGCTTGTCGCAGAGTAAATGCACAGATCACAATTGTTTTTATTTTATGGCTTGTAATTTCTATAAACCCATTCTCCGGCTTAGAAGTTTTCAGTCTAGTGGGGAAGTAAGCTTGGATTCAATCACTTGAAGATAATTAACACAGTTTTGTAGTGTAGATTAACTGTTAAATGATGGCTCAGTCAGTGCGGAACAGAGTTTGGATAAGGAAGGTGCTGTGGCCCTGAGTGGTCTGGAAAGGCCTCCTGGGAGAGGTGGGATGTGAGCTTCACATTGAAGGACAACCAGCTGGAAGGCTGGGCCAGGCCTTCCAGTGGAGGAGGGGAAAGAAATGGAGACTCAGGGTGGCTGTGGCGGTTGGGAAGTGATAGCCTGGGCCAGACTTCAGGGTCGGGCTAGACTAGGTCCCATGGGTAGTGAGGAGTCATTGAGGGTTCTTGAGCAGGGGAGTGGAGGGGTCCCCAATGGACCTCACATTCACTCTCTGCTGGGCAGCAGCTGTCTTTCCTGTTTGGCAGACACCCCCACCCCCACCCTGCAGTGAGAACTTTGGAGCAGATGGTAATTCACTGTGCAGAAGCCAGACACGATCTTTTTCCTGAATCACAAGTGTGCTGTGTCACAGTCGTGTTGGGCCCAGGACGCTGACAGTGATGGTATCAACACCAGGAGACTGGTGCTGACTCTATGCCGGCCCTGGCACCACAGCCTCTACACGCCCTGGTTATAGACCCAACACCCTTGTTCATGATGCAGTTTAGAACACTCCTTTTACCACCTAGAAATGCAATCCATGAATAATCTACCAGCACAGCAAAGTTCGGGAAAATCGATAGAAAACCCCAGTTACTTTTTAAAGGGAAAGCAAAAAGGAAGCAACTTATAGCAAAACAACATATGTTTCAATATGTAAATACTCGGGCACCACAAACATAACGGAGTGGACAGGTGCTGGACGGTGGGCAGTGACTGCATTCAGCTGTGAGACAGGAGAGCCAAGACTCTGTCAAATGTTGTCAGTACTTTCCCCGCATGGTTTACGTCTTGAATAAGAGCTAAGCACATATGTTATTATGGAATCGCCGTGAATGCCATGGCTACAGACGTGGACTGACTGAACGGGATTGCATTGGCTACTCAGACTCCAAGGGTGGCGTCGCCGTTAGTGACATGATTTTCGGAAATGATGAATAACATTTGCTAAAGTACTGAATAAAAGAGAGTCCAGTCCACCTTCAATTTATATGGTAATTGCATTTCTGGAAAATTCAGCTTATTTTAAAATGAGGTGAAGTACACTTTGAGGCTGTATGTGAAAGAGTCATACTCTAGGCTTCGTGACTATAGGCAACACACACACGAGTCTGGTGGCACATTTCATGAGAAACAGGGCAGTTTTTTTGTGTGGGGGGACTGTCCCCCCACCCCCGCAGGACTGCCAGCTTTCCTGGGCCTTGGTCATTAAATGCTGCACCTTAGTCCTTGTGGTGACCCGAAAATAGCCCTATGTGTCTCCAGGTCGCCCTTTAGAGGACAGTACTGCGTGTGTAGCAACTGCCAACTTATTCAATTTATTTAACCTTCACAGCAATCCTTTGAAGGAGCAGTTTTCATTCCCACTTTATGGATGTGCACACTGGGGCTTGGAGAAGTGCCATAACCCGTTCAAGGTCCCAGAGCGGGGACCAGAACCCTCTGTTTTTCTGCCTCACCATAGCACTTAATACTGCCTTAACATGCCACATGCCTTCAGATTATTTCAACAGGCCTTTATTAAACACCTACTGGATTATAGGCACCCCAGTAAGCCCTGGAGACAGGAGGCAAAACATCTAAGATGTGGTCCCTGTGCACCACATATATGATATACAGACAGGGTAGGGGTCACAACCCAGGAAAAGCATAGAAAGAAGTTCAGGCAGCCAGTGCACAGTCCTTGAGAGGGAGGGACAGGCTGGATCGGCAGATGGGGCCAGCTTACGAAGGGCTTGTCGGTGAGCATAGTAAAAAGATGAAAGCAGTGGAGAGCCACGAGGGATTAAAGCAGAGGGGTGGCCTGACAGGGCTTCCTTTATAGAAGGGCCACTGTGGTTGTGGCATGTGGAATGCATACACGGGAGCCCAGGCTGGATTCCATGTAGTGGTTGTTCAGTAGGAGGTGGTGGCAGCTTTGAGGAGAGAAGAGGACAGTTTTGAGAAATATGCAGGAGTGAGAATCAGGCCCTGGTGGCTGAATGCAGGGGGTGTAGGAGACAAAGAAGTCCAAGATGAACCCAGCCTCCTGGCTTGAGTGCCTGTGCTTGGTGGTGCTGTGGGGTAAGACGGGGTGATGTGGGGGGAGGGATAGGTTTGGCTGCAGTTGAGGGAGAAGGCGTCTCTTTGGGGACCCATTATGTTTGCAGTGCCTCTGAGACTGCAGGTGGAGGTGTTTGGGCAGTGGACAGGATGTCTGGAGCTCAGGAGACAGGGATATGGTATGGGGTCATCAGCATGTGTGTTAGGATTTCTTTACCTGGGGCCCATGGGTGCTTCAAGGGACCC